CTCTATGAGACTTAGCTTTCTGGCAATCTTTCCTTCATGGTGCCGGGGTACTCGGTTTACAGAGAGGATAGGTCAGTGTGGGGTGGAAGGGGGCTTGCCCTCTTTGTTAGAGACTCTGTACAGAGTTTCTTGCTCTGGCTCTGCTCCTTTCCGGGTGGGCGCCTGAAGTTCATGGCGGTGATGGCGGCCCACTCCCATGAGTGGGGCACTTTTGGAGTTCTTTATAACCCATGTCTAACGGTAACGGCGAGGGAGCTTACCCATTATTTTGGCCAGATCACGGACATTTGTCTCGTCATGAGTGACCAACGACCAGTACTCATCATGGCAACCGACACTAATAAGTCACTTCCACAACACAGCCGCCCGAGCCCTGTTTCAGTTCTCCTCGACTCCCAAAACCTCTCCTTACTGACACCGCCAGGTTTAGGAACCTGGATAGACCCGCTCAATGGGCATAGTTCAACGCTCGATCTCTGCATTGAGTGAGGCCCTTTTACGATGGCACAGATATGAACCAGACCGTACCTGGGCAGTGATCACCTGTCCGTGGTCGTTTCCTTCGGGGACGCTGTTCGTTTCACACTGATCATGCAGAGATCCAGATGGTTCTTCTCATAGGAAAGGTGGCTTGACTATGAGGCTGATGACTGGTTGACCATTTCCCAAGTACCGCGGATTTGCATGGGTCACTGGATGCCCTCTCTGACTCCCTCTTCAGTAAACGCTCTTGTCACATTAAGATGACTAGTGGCCAGACCTCCACCCGGTCCTGCCATGGTGCACCGTGGTGGACTCCTGAATGCCGGCAGGAAGTCCTGGACTGGTACCGTACATGGCATTCGTGGTGACTGCACCCCACCCCGTTGCAGCGGCAGATTTTCCAGAGGGCGGACGCAAAGTGTAGGCGAGTAGTCCTCCTTACCAAACGCAAGGCCTGCGAAGATTATTGTTCCTCTCTTCCTGGTAAGATTATTGTTCCTCTCTTCCTGGTAAGATTATTGTTCCTCTCTTCCTGGTAAGATTATTGTTCCTCTCTTCCTGGTAAGATTATTGTTCCTCTCTTCCTGGGAAGATTATTGTTCCTCTCTTCCTGGGAAGATTATTGTTCCTCTCTTCCTGGGAAGATTATTGTTCCTCTCTTCCTGGGAAGATTATTGTTCCTCTCTTCCTGGGAAGATTATTGTTCCTCTCTTCCTGGGAAGATTATTGTTCCTCTCTTCCTGGGAAGATTATTGTTCCTCTCTTCCTGGGAAGATTATTGTTCCTCTCTTCTTGGGAAGATTATTGTTCCTCTCTTCCTGGGAAGATTATTGTTCCTCTCTTCCTGGGAAGATTATTGTTCCTCTCTTCCTGGGAAGATTATTGTTCCTCTCTTCCTGGGAAGATTATTGTTCCTCTCTTCCTGGGAAGATTATTGTTCCTCTCTTCCTGGGAAGATTATTGTTCCTCTCTTCCTGGGAAGATTATTGTTCCTCTCTTCCTGGGAAGATTATTGTTCCTCTCTTCCTGGGAAGATTATTGTTCCTCTTCCTGGGAAGATTATTGTTCCTCTCTTCCTGGGAAGATTATTGTTCCTCTCTTCCTGGGAAGATTATTGTTCCTCTCTTCCTGGGAAGATTATTGTTCCTCTCTTCCTGGGAAGATTATTGTTCCTCTCTTCCTGGGAAGATTATTGTTCCTCTCTTCCTGGGAAGATTATTGTTCCTCTCTTCCTGGGAAGATTATTGTTCCTCTCTTCCTGGGAAGATTATTGTTCCTCTCTTCCTGGGAAGATTATTGTTCCTCTCTTCCTGGGAAGATTATTGTTCCTCTCTTCCTGGGAAGATTATTGTTCCTCTCTTCCTGGGAAGATTATTGTTCCTCTCTTCCTGGGAAGATTATTGTTCCTCTCTTCCTGGGAAGATTATTGTTCCTCTCTTCCTGGGAAGATTATTGTTCGATTCAACTCCTCCGCGGGAGCCAGGGACTTTTTTCGTAAGATGTCTGGGAGATACTCCCGGCCTTCCATCCCACTCAGAGATCCCAGTGGGAATACGAGCCTGGGGAAGGTACAGACGGCTGAGCTTTTGGCTGACCACTTTGAGGTTTCCCGTTTCCCGCTCCTTCCTGCGGGAAACGTTTGGGGCACCCAGCAGAGTATAGGCTTAGCTCTTGACCTGGATCTTCCATTTACATCTGGTGAGCTCGAGGAGGCCCTGTCACTCTCTATGGTGGGTACTTTGCGGGGATAAACAGCATACCGTATGAATTCATTCAGAGGGCGCCAAGGGTCTTGCAGTCCCACCTTCACTTCTGCAATGCCTTCTGGTCCCTTCCCTGACCCGTGGGAATGCACCATTCTTCTACCGTTTCCCAAGTCGAAGAGGGATGAGCCTATCCCGAGTTAATATCGGCCCATCAGTTTGTTCAGTGTCTCGGGAAATTGATGGGACGCCTAGTCCACCTCCGGCTGCAGTGGGATGGTGGAAACTTTAGGTCTCTTTCCTGAGGGATTCAGTGGGTTTCGGCCAGGGAGAAGCATGACTGACTGCCTTCTTTCCGTGGAACATCGAATAATGGACATGTATCTCCTGAGGAGGATGCTTCTTACAGCAGAGTGCGTTTGACTCTGCATCCCATTTGCCTGTCATTTAGGGTTTGGCTTGACTAGGTCTTTCAGGTTCGGCATTGGGGTGGGTTTAAACTATCTGCAAGGCCACTCATTCAGAGTGACAATGGTTGGAGTGGTCTCCACGTCCTTGGGGAACACCGTGTGGTGTTCCCCAGGAAGCAATATTCAGACTGCTCTTGGTGCCCTGGTCACTGCTCACTTGGCCTGGTCACTTGGTGCCCTGCTCCCAGACACTGCCTTAATCGACTGAGCTACGACAGGGCAAAAGGGTTAAAACCGAAGTTCTACTGAACTTACTGGATCCCGTAGCCTCTCCGAGGCACAAACCAGGCTTTTACACAACCCCCCCCTGCACCCGAGCTATGTCAACAGGCCGTTCTCCCTCTTCGCCCTTACATCATCACACACAGAGATCACAATAACGTGATGATGATGTCGTAGCTCAGTCGATTAAGGCAGTGTCTGGGATGCTCCCGGACGCAGGTTCGAATCCTCGTCACGGACCTTGTGGATTTGTTCACTTAGACTAAAACTTAAAAGTAATTGAGCTTAAAGTATAAATTGTGTTGAATGAAAAAAAAATAATAAAAGATAAAAAAAAATGGGGGAACATGGTAGAAAATAGCCAATATACAAGTTAGTCAACAAACAGCATTTTATTTTAAATAGTAAGACATGGGTTGATATTTAGAAGTAAGGTAGGTCACATGGAGTTAATAAGGTAGTACTTAGTTTTCATCTTAAACTGGATGAGAGAGGAACAATCTTTGACATAATTGGGAAGGTCATTCCACATTCTGGGTCCCTTGATTTGTAGAGCTTTCCTAATTTGATTAAGTCTAACTCTTGGAATATCAAATAGGTATTTGTTTCTGGTGTGGTGCATATGAGTTCTGTTACAACCTTCTAGGAAGCGTTGAAGGTCAGTATTGACATTACAATTCAGAGTTTTAAATATGTAGAGTACACAAGAGAGGATGTACGGTGACTTAATATCTAACATATTCAGAGATTTGAGTAAGGGTACAGCAGCAGTAAGTGCTGTCTGGGGCCAGTTAGATACTGTTCTGATAGCAGCTTTGTGTTGGGTAATTAGAGGACGTAAATGATTTTGGGTTATCTTGAGATGATTTCGGGGCTTTAGTGTCCCCGCGGCCCGGTCCTCGACCAGGCCTCCACCCCCAGGAAGCTGCCCGTGACAGCTGACTAACACCCAGGTACCTATATTACTGCTAGGTAACAGGGGCATAGGGTGAAAGAAACTCTGCCCATTGTTTCTCGCCAGCGACCGGGATCGAACTCGGGACCACAGGATCACAAGTCCAGCGTGCTGTCCGCTCGGCCGACCGGCTCCCCTGACCGACCGGGTAGTAGAAACTCAAGCACAAATACCATAGTTGAGATAAGGATAAATGTGAGAATAATAGAGCGTCACCAGGGCAGGGCGAGGTACATAATATCTGATCTTAGAAAGAACGCCAACAGTTTTAGAAACTGTTGCTATATTTAGAATGTGTCCCTGGAAATTCAGCTTGTTATCGATGAGGACACCAAGGAATTTACCATCAACTTTACTACTGATTTGTATATTGTTCATTCTTAAATTAATTTCATTTGAGGATTTATTACCAAACAAAATATAGAAAGTTTTGTCAATGTTAAGGGTGAGTTTGTTAGCAGTTAGCCAAAGATGGACTTTATTTAGTTCAGTATTCACAGTGACATTTAGAGCAAGAGGGTAAGGACTGGAGAAAATGAAAGTTGTGTCATCAGCAAATAAGATTGGTTTGAGGTGTTGAGAGGCATTTGGAAGGTCATTAATGTAGATGAGAAAGAAGAGAGGGCCAAGTATGCTGCCCTGTGGAACACCGATGTTTATAGGAAGTGTCGGAGAAATGGAATTATTCACAGAAACATACTGGAGCCTGTCAGTAAGGTAGGACTGAAGGTATTGCAGGGAGTGACCTCTGACTCCATAATGATGTAATTTAAGAAGAAGGTTTTGGTGGTTGACAGTGTCAAAAGCCTTACGTAGGTCCACAAATATCCCAACAGGGAACTCATTTTTATCAATTGTTATCAATTGAGTAACAAGGAACTCATTTTTATCAAGAGCTGCATGTATCAATACTAATAAGTACATCGTTAGTGCTTTTTTGGGTCTGAAGCCATATTGACAAAAGCTAAGTATATTGTGTTTGGCTAGATAAGAGTAAAGCTGCTTGTAGATTAGTTTTTCAAATATTTTTGACAAGTTTGGCAGGATTGATATAGGTCTGAAGTTGTTGACATCAGTGAGATCACCACATTTGTGGACAGGAGTTACTCTCGCTTTTTTTTTTTTTAGAATATCTGTGTACATATGTTGTCTTTGTATATTCTACAGGCTGCTGAGTGCGACCTGTTGACATTTGTACAGACCCATCAGGGTAGGCATAGTGCTCGTGAGACCGTAAGTTATTTATAAAGGAATCAATGGTTTATATATTTAAATTTATTTATGAATGAATTTATAAATTATTTATAAATGAATCAAAGAACAACAGTGTCAAACAAACTTTACCTTTTAGACAAATTAACAAACATTAGCTTTCAATTTAATTGATGAAATATTTTGTCAAGAAAAAAAACCACAACAACACTAAATATGTAGTACATTTTGTATTTTTTTTATCTTTAATACAGATGTGTACTAGGCTACTAGGCACCCCTTACACCTGTGTTGCCAGAACAGTGACGGAGACAAGGAAGAAACTAGTCCTGATTATGGTGGCCGTGACCTGGCAACTCTGCTCCTGCCTGGTCCCGGCTGCTCAACACCAACCAAGGTAAGCTTATTTACATAACTCTTGTTGTATTCACCTATTTGTCTCTGCAGAAGGGCGCTGTTAGCTCTTGGACCCCGCTTTTCCAACCGTCGGTAGTCTCATGTAATAACTCCCGACCTATTTTCTCTATCATATCTTTATACGTACCAATTATTAAATAGGTAAATTAAACTCCCAGGTAAATAGGTACCTGGGAGTATTATAATGCTCACATCAGGCTGTACAACACAACAACTGCCTCACTCCCAGGTACTTATTTATTGCTATAGATGAATACGTGTATCAAGTGAAAGAAAATGTTGCCCGATCTTCTTCTTCTTGATAGTAGGTGCAGTTTGCGTGAAGGCTTTGTCCTCCGGATGACTGCACCAGTACATGTGGGGAGACCCGTTAATGTTGAGGATGCGTTTATATTGAGTATTATTAATGATGGTAACAGAGTTCATTTCATGTGGTCTCCATCTCATGTTGGCCTCCGAATGTATGGTAGAGCTGATAAGTTAGCCAAAGAATCTGCCTTTAAAGGAGACGTTGAGTGTAACCTTGGAGTGTCAATGGATGGTCTTAAATAGGCTACTGTGGAAGACTGGAGACCTGCATAAACACATATTTGGCTTCACTAGAGGAGTAGGTACTGCCAACTGCATAGCAACATTACTAGGAACAGTTAACTCAGGTCCAGCTATAGTGATCTTCCTTGATCTAGAAAAAGCATTCGAACTTGCAAGCCCGCAAGCAATTTTACACACCTTAGTTAAAAAAAGGTGTAAAGAGAACTATGCTAGCATGGATTCAAGATTACCTAAGTCACAGGTATGCCAGAGTAAAGGTGCAAGGACATGTGTCGGACTACCACTTGCATGAGAATCTCCCCTCCCTGTCCAGCTCGTTGCTGCCCTGAGGGAGCTTGGTGGGCGGCTGCCGGAGTGTGATGCTCCTTGAGGCGGTCCCCTGTCCTTATGTAGCCTTGTGCTCCTGCTGCTGTCCTCACAAATTTTGCTGGACGCCTTTTCCTTTTCCTTCTGTTTCGTTTTTCTCCCCCCTCTTCTCCTTTCTCATTGTCATTCCCCGCCGACCTTTTGCCTGTTTTGATTCTTCTTTCGGCCTTCTTTTATTTTGACGTTCGGGTGTTTGGGGAGGCATAGTCTTGCACCCGTAGAACTGTAGTACCCAACGTCTCGAACGAGGGGGATCCTTTTATTGTCAATCCTTCTTTCGTCACTGAACCCGATCTCGACGGACTGACGGTTCTTAAGGTAGTGTTTGTGGGGTGTATACTCACGACGCACCCCTGGGGGGCCCCGGCATGATCGGCGATAGCTTCTTGTTGGTGTCCTGCCTCCATGGTGGGTGTGGGGGCACATTCGTGAATGAAAGTCTTTCCTCGTTTTTACGGCAGATAATGTTTCCCTTGTACCTTCTCAGGCTCGTGGGGTGGGCGACCAAGCCCCCGAGTCGGACTGTGTTGGAAGACCAGGCCTTGTAGCCCCCGCTGCATTGGGCCCCGACCTTGCACCCCCTTTGACCCTCCTGACTACTCCCCTCAGCTCCCCTCCCTCCTCTACGGTAGGGTCGAGTCCCCAACCTCCAGTGGTGAGCACCTCGTCCCCTGGCACGGCTCCGTCTCTCATTGTGACTACTGCGCCTTTTACCCCCTCTCACTCTGGGGGTTCTCAACGTCGTCCCTTACAAGGCCGCACTCGCACGATCCCTTCCCATACTAACACTTACAACGCCTTATTTGGTCCCGCTTCATGGGCTAAATACTTTGATCGCCATCATCTGGATTCTACTCCTGACGATTTCTCCCTCCATAAACATCTTGTTCATTCAGTAGATGCCTCTGTTACTTTTAACCCCACCAATTACGGTACGCGTGTCGTTGCTGCTCCTTCTCAGGATGCAGCTACTCGCTTAGCCGCTTTGTCCTGCATTGGGGAGACCCCTGTTCGGGTCTCCAAAAATGCTCGGTTAAATGCCAGTGTTGACACTGTTCTCCTCCCACACCATGTTGCAACTGGTGTTCGGGACCTCAAAGACTGCCATGAGGATTTTAAACATATCCTCGAAGCCCAAGGACATTCTGTCCTCCAGGTGGACACGTTTACTCGACCCCTTCGTGGTCGTCGCCGTCAGCCCCTTCGAGTTGTAAAAATGACCTTTGATAGTAAGGCCCTTCCGCCTTTTATTATTCTTGCCGGTGCCAGATGCTCCGTTCAGGAGTACATTCCCTCTCCTAGACTTTGCAATAAGTGTTGGAAGTTTGTGCACGGTGTCCTCTAGTGCACCAGTACTGTGTATCTATGCCCCATGTGTGGGGCCGATGATCATTCTAAGTCCGAGTGCACTTCTCCCCAGGCTCGCTGCCTCAATTGCGGTGAAGCCCACCCTACCTTCTCACGCTCGTGCATGCACTACAAACTCGAGGAAGCCGTCCTCAACTTGAAGCACCGTGATCGTCTGTCTTTTCCTGAAGCGAGACGCCAAGTTCGTCGTCTCACCCCTTTCGCGGGTGTCTCCTATGCTCGCGTGTTGCGTTCTATCTCTCCTCGTCCTTCACACCTTACTCAGTCTTACAACCGTTTCCAGGCCTTAGACCCGAACACGCCCTCCACCTCCTCCCCTATTCCTTTGCGTCCTGTCCCGAAAAGTCTCCCTCCTGGTTCTCCACTTGGAGTTTTCCCCCTTCCTGCCCAGTCCACCATGTCTTCTATGTTATCTTCCCCATCTCCCCCCACTCTTTCTTCTCAACCCTCTTCCCCAGTCTCTTGACCCTCCACGCCACCTGTCTGTTCAAGCTGATATCCATCATCCTCCCAGCAATCTTCGTGTTGTTCGCTCTCGTTCCTCTTCTCCTGCTGAGACCATTGAGTGTCGCCCGGTACGTTGTTACTGGAACACCTGTCTCTTCGAGTCAGAAACGTAAGCCTGGCTCCTCTCCTTCCTCCCCAGCGGGTAAGAAGGTATCTCTTTCTTCCTCACCCCCTCCCTCTGACTCTGTCACTACGTCCCCTCCCATTTCAGTGGTCGGGCCCCCTGTCCCAGATATGGAGGTTCCTTTTGCCCCCGATTCCCTCTCGGTTACTGCCCTTGCTGAGCTGCACTCCCTGACTTCTGCCCCCCCCCCTCCTTCAGCTGTCCTTGCCTGCCCCTCTCAGTTGCCTCCTCCTCCAGACCCCGTCAGTCCGCCTCTGGTCTGTCCTCTCGCTCCCTTCCCTCTCTCCTTACTAAGTTTACCCATGCCCCCTAACCCTGATTTTGCCGACGCTGCTTCTGATCCTGACCCTGATCCTGAGATTCTTTAATAAACTATGTTCCTCTATACCTTTATTTCTTTCTTGTTCTCTGTTACTGTCCTTTCTCTTTGGTAATGTCTATTCTTCAATGGAATATTCGTGGATTTTATGCCAACTTCCATGAACTCCAACTTCTAATTACACAGTTTTCACCACTTTGTGTTTGTCTCCAGGAACCAATGCTTGGTGCTCGTCCTGGTCACTTTCCTGGTTATTCCTTTCTCCCTCCCCCCCCCAGCTCTTGCTGGAGCCCGTAACTCTACTGCTCTCTTAATTCGTTCTGATATTCCCTTCGTTCCCCTACTTCTTCCGTCCCCTATCCATTGTTCTGCTGCCCGTGTTTTTGTGGGTAAATGGTATACAGTCTGTTCCATTTATCTCCCCCCAAATGTCCCTCTTTCCCTTCCTGATCTTAAGCACCTCCTGGACTCCTTGCCAGAGCCGGTGATCCTGTTGAGTGATTTCAACTGTCGACATTCCCTCTGGGGTGATGTTCTGACAAACACCCGAAGCCGCCTTCTCGAACCGTTCGTCCTCGCTTCTTCTCTATCTCTTCTGAATTCTGGTGAGCCCACTCATACAAACAAACAAACAAATATTTATTCAGGTAAAGTACATACATACAAGGTAAGATACAAAAGTTGATGGATTTATAGATAGAGCTAATACATATAATGCCTAAAGCCACTATTACGCAAAGCGTTTAAGGCAGGAAAAACACTAAGTCTAAAACTTAATACTAATTGAGATTAAAGTATAAATTGTGTTGAGAAAAAATAAGAAAAGAATGGAAAAAAGGGGGGGGGAAACATGGCAGAAAAAAAAAACAAAAATATAATTTGGTCAACAAACAACATTGTTTAAAATAGTAGACATGGGTTGACATTTAGGGGTGAGGTAGGTTACATTGAGTTAATTAGGTAGTGTTTAGTTTTTATCTTAAACTGGTTGAGAGAGGTACAGTCTTTAACATGATTGGGAAGGTCATTCCACATTCTGGGTCCCTTGATTTGTAGAGCATTTCTAGTTTGACTAAGTCTAACTCTTGGAATATCAAATAGGTATTTGTTTCTGGTGAGGTGCTCATGGCATCTGTTACAACCTTCTAGGAAGCTTTTAAGGTCAGGATTGACATTACAGTTCAGCGTTTTATATATATATATATATATATATATATATATATATATATATATATATATATATATATATATATATATATATATATATATATATATATATATATATATATATTTCTAGTCTGACGCGACACGGGCGCGTTTCGTAAAACTTATTACATTTTCAAAGACTTCACAAATACACAACTGATTAGAACTTACGTCTCTCTGATATTATATCTACATTTGAGTGAGGTGGGAAGGATGATGTGGCATTAACACAAGACAGAACAGGGGATATTAATAGGGTATTAAAAGTATCAACACAAGACAGAACAGAAAACAATGGGTATTGAATAGAAGTGTTTGTAGAAAGCCTATTGGTCCATATTTCTTGATGCTTCTATATTGGAGCGGAGTCTTGAGGTGGGTAGAATATAGTTGTGCAATAATTGGCTGTTGATTGCTGGTGTTGACTTCTTGATGTGTAGTGCCTCGCAAACGTCAAGCCGCCTGCTATCGCTGTATCTATCGATGATTTCTGTGTTGTTTACTAGGATTTCTCTGGCGATGGTTTGGTTATGGGAAG